GAGTGAGCAGCCCCCCCCCCCCCCCCCCCTCCCCCTCCGCTTAGCTCTCTCTGCTCACCTTTTGTTTTTTTCGCTCTCATCGATTTTTTTCGACTTTTTCTCCCACTGTGGTGCTTGGTCCTAGGCTAGTGCCGCGCCACGGGCTGAACTTGATTCTTTTTAAAAGTATTTTAATTCACACTCACACGGAATTAAACATGGTACAAAAAGACATTCAAAATAGTTTGTGATAAAGTATAATGTCTCCAGCGTCTAAGCGCCACCACACCATACCCAAAGGCGCTGTCCCTGTCATGAATTATTTATTATTAGTTTAGTTTGCTAATAATGTCAATTACGCGTCCTTGTTGGCCACAGATCTGGAGAAATTACTCGCGGATGACAAAATCACAGCTCTCTTCTCCGCAGAGGCTTCCGCTGGCTGGGTGTCCCAATAAAAATAATAGCAAGCGCGCGGGAGACGATGGGAAGAGGGAAAAGGCGCTCCACGCGCTTCCCGCGAGGACCTAAGGACCCCCGCGCGCTTCTTTTCTTTCTCCCCAGCCCCGACACGCTTACGTTTCTGGGAAAACTGCCTACCTACTCCTCCCCTCCTCCCATTTTGTCAGAGTAAAGACTGGTGAGGATATATCGACAGATATAGCCTGGGACCGGGCTCCGCTTTGTGAAAAGGAGAAAAAATTGGTGTGGGCGAAAAAAAAACATCGGCGAGCGAAGCGAGCCAAGGGGTTGTCCGCTCGGCTAGCTACACTCCCCGATATTTTTCCTCTTTGACCCCGTTTTTTGCCTTTTCCCCGCTGCGGAGCCTGGTCCGAGGCTACGACAGACACAAGTTGCTAGGATACAAGGATCCCAAGAGACGCGGGCGCAGAAATTAACATAAGATTTCCTTCTCCGGAAAGCAGATTACATGGAGAAGATGGTCTTCAAATATTCGAATCTTTCATGGTTTCTGATCTAGACCTATCGCTTTGGAGGTGACTCCAAAGCCTGTTAATGGCACAGGGCAGGGAAAGGAACAATTTTGTTCCAAGAACAGCATGTGTCTCACCGTTTTGGAAGCATTCTACGCCGAGCAATGTCGTAACTCTGAGAATGCGCCCACCTCAAACTCCTTTTACTTCGCTTGACACATTCATGGCTGCTCATAGTCCTCAGAGATTTTGCCAAGCAAGACAAAAATACATATTAAGTGAGTTTTTCTCGTTTCCTGACTGTTACGTGTACATAAATGACAAAAGCCGAATAGTTACGTTTTAAATATTTGTGGCGCGCGCAATAATCAAACCATAATAGAATTTTGTTTTAAGCACCCAAAATTGAATGTTTGTTTTTTTACTTGAAGAGCCTTTGACGGTGGATAAAGGAATAACGGATGCTGGATACGCTCCTGTCCAGCAGAAGACAAGAAACAACCCGAAGTAAGTAACGACCGACCAAAACAATTTTTCGATTGAAGGAGATTCGGATTTTTGTAAAATGCAATGACTTATATAAATGGCAGCTCGACTACGTATTCTAAAGGGCCTCAGTCCATAAATATTGGTAGGTGCGATGGTGTTGCAAAAGGAAGGTTTAACGTATTGTTTTTTCTTTCCTCCCTTGACGATAGTAAAAATAGAAACTCGTCAAATCGAAGATCGGAAACTGTGTTTACAAAGTCTTTCCAATTACTGAGTTTATTTTATTAAGAGTTGTGGTCAACAATATTAAAGCTAATTGAGATTTTTGTTAATATACTGAAAGAATTTCAGGCCAAAACGGACATGTTGCACGTTGTACAGGACCGTTTCGCAAATAACCAGTCGAGTTCATATTTTCACGCTTAGCCTTTTTTCGCCCTTTGAAAAAACAGACAGAATACTATTCTTTTAAAACACAATAAAAATGATTAACTGACAAATGATAACTTTTTAAGCCTATAATTTTATTTTGTTCCAAGGTTTTCTGTGATAATATCACTAAAACTCAATAATTTACCGTTAATTTATAGAACTTTTTGATGCTAAATGGCTGCTTTAAGAAGCTTCAAATCGTTAGATTATCAGTATTTGTTTATACTTTATGAAGACAAAATAATTTTGTCAATATTAGTGTTATGTTTCCCTAGCAACTGTAAAATTTTCCAGGTTAATGTCATGTTAAACCAATGTTAAATATTGCATAGACCAGTTCATTAATATCTTCCTTTAAGGAGCAAACTTTTTGAATTTTATCCTAAGAAACTGTTCGAGATTGAACATGTAGGTTTTAGGGCTGGTCGTTTATCACCCGTGGAGGGGAGGGGGGGGAAGGGGGGGGAGTCATTTTGCGGGGAGGTCATTTTCAAAATCTTGATTGGCTTTGAGACGTCATTTTCAGATTAGGGAGCGTTACCTGTGGGTCATTTTAATAAATTTCTTGAAAGTAAAACAAATTAAGCAGTAACAAGCATGAATTGAACTTGAAACATCCGTAATACTTAACACTGATCTTATACACGTGACTGTAGATAAAGTTTGTGGTGAACTTCTTCATGATTTGTAGCAAGTAGAACAGGCATCATTTTGTTTTGTGTTTTTCAGGTGAGAGAAGGCAAGCACCTCATCTGAAAAATGCCGAAAATTAATCCCTGTTCCACGGGCTACACGATTTGTACTTAGAATGTTCGTAGTTTCCACAGCAATCATAAGGGGGGGCAGGGGGTCACTTTCACAATAGTTTTAATTTATGAGGGGTCATTTCTAAAAAGTTAAGAATAATTGGGGTGTCAGTTTGAAAATCTTTTAAGCTTTCTCAAAATGCCTAAACAAGCAGTTCCTAAAGCAGAAAATGAAATTTTGGTCAAGATGGTTTTAACCTAGCTAGTTTGATTGTTGATTTCTTATCATAATCATAAAGAATAATGGTTAGGGGACAAAGAACACTAAGTATCAAATTAGGGTGAAACTATTTTAATCTGGAGTGTATTTTGAACTTCCATACAGGGTTGTAGCTCCTATAAGCTCTTTCTCATGATTTCTGTCATTTCTATAGTGATGCAAGATGCAAGAGTGTTAAACAGCAGCGACAGAGTCAGTTTACTCACAGGAGCCCACAAAGTAACACATATACGACAACTGACAGTAGCTGTAGTGATGGAGAAAACAGAGTTTTGCCACTTGGAAAATGCAAAATAAACAATGAAGAACTTCTTTCAAGTGATGGAGCTGCAGAACTTTACAGAAGTAGCTTTTTTCGACCAGGACCAAAGATTCCATTGACTTTTAATCGCAGTACATCTATACCGACAATGCCTCACAGTGCCAGTGATCTCATTGCTATTGGGACAATACCGATCACATCACAACGACAGACTCCAGTTAAACCTATGTCCAGGTGAAACTTAAAAACGTTTTTGAGGTGTCTTCACATGTTTTAATAATCTTCAATTTATCAAAAGGTTAACTTTTATTTCATGGTTGAGGAGATGAAGTACCACAGAAACAATTTACCTTTAAAAGTCAGAGGCAGTGGTACTAACCATCAATATCACTGCTTCAAATCTATCATGTCAAGGGATCCTTTTCAACCTTTTTTAAGTGTCTATCTCTTCCTGTATATGTTCCAAAAAGGAACTTATGGAGTTTCTGCTCTGAACAATTTTGTGTCAAATATGAATATCACAAGGATGCAGTTGTAATAGTTACTTTTATCCTCGTACAGTCTAGTTAGTAACACAAAAGACCAGCAGCAAACTAGCAGAACAGACAAAAAGGAAACATTAAACAACAGTGATCTCTTGTTAGTCCATATTTACTGACACTTTTTCACTGGCACTAACAATTAGATATTTTTAACTACTTTTCTCTTGCATTTATATTTATTTCACCTTGCATTTGCACACGATTAATAAATCATTTGTTACTTACTTTATTCACATACAATTTAACGCTCAGGCTAAATGCCAATCTTCAGAATAGCAGGTTGCAGATGCAGATATACATTGTGTTTCTGGCTATTTCTTTGCCAAGAAAAACAATATCTTGAAATACATGTCTGCATTCACAGGCCAACCCAAGGACCCACCCTCACGATCATGTTTTTGTCAATCTTGCTGACTTTTTGTCAGAGTGGCAGTGTTTAAATTGCAAAGGCTTAAGTTGTGTAGGCCTGGGTAATGTGAGAGTCAAACAACTCTAGCTGAACACCACAACACAAATAAATGTTATATTCCAACAGGCAGGGTGCACTGCCTTTTGGCTGTTTACAAGTAGTGAGCACACATGCAGCTCTAGTCTGGTTTTCGTACATGTTATTAAGTGATGTTTGCTTTAAAAACTTGAATGAAAAGTCAAAAGTAGACACAGGTGTTTTCTCAAACTACCTGTCAGTACCCCAAAAAATTATTAAACTGATATGCTGAGGTGCCAAAGAAACTAATTCTTTCACTTCTGTGCATTCATCTTGTGTAGAGGTTTCTTTAAAAGATAAATAAGGTAAAAAATAAGCCATGAGGGAAGTTGAGCAAAAAATATAAAAAGGTAACCCTGACAAAACAATAAGTTTTTAGTTCCCAAGAAGATGATAAAGACATTAACTTTAATGTGCAGTGATCATGAATCTTTAATTTCACTCAATTACATGGTGTTTTCCATTCGTTGTAGAACTTTCAGCATTCATTACCTTCAAAGTTCACTATTAAAATAAACGCAATCTTGACAAAAATTAAAACAAGGTTAGACTTCTAAACCTTTTGTCACTTAACTTAAAGGTCAAATTATTATATACATCGTATGTATATGGGGTTTTTTTTCAGGTCTTCCTCTGAGGAGGACATACAAGTCATGCCAAAGTCAAAACAAGGAGGATTGTTAGTTTACGTTTTTAAATGTTGCATTTATTAATAAACTTTAAAAAAAGGAACAGTTCTAACAGAATCTTGAAAACTACAGTTAAAGTCAGAACACCAATAATACTATAAATGTGTGTGTTTAAAAACTTCTACCATTTGCAGAAATCCAAAAACTTTTTTAATAACAAAGGGAATGTTTTTTTTTTTAATAAGAATAAAACTTATGAGTGAACATATTTAAAAGTAATAAACTGTTTAAAGAACTCATGAGGAGCGTAAGAGAAAATATACAACTGTTATTTATAACTGATTTATTGTCACTTTTTTAATTTAAAAATTTTTTATTGACGAAGTTTGCCCTAAGAGTAACAAAAAAAGTCATTGAGAGGGCTCACTTTGAAATAACGTTAAATACAAAAATTACATTAAATAGTACATGTAATTAGTCAAAGCGGCAGCAAAACAAAGAGGATATTTAAGGAACTTTGAGTGTAACTGCAGATGAAATAGTCAAATGTTGTAGTTCCAGATAATGTACAAGCACAATAAATGCACTGTAATTTTTAACTACAGCTTCCCCTGCACAAAAGATGCAAATTATGAACAAAAGTCAACACCTTTGAACTGTTTGAATGTCTAAAGTCTTCAAAGATTTCTAGTCATTAAGTAGCTCGTACTGATATTTCTTTTTATGTTTATATTGTTTAGGTGGAAAACAAAGGCAACCTTGAATCTCAAAGGTAGGATCAGAAATAATGATCATTTCACATCTTTTGTGATGCTACTAAGCCTGAGAAAACAGCCAACATTTTATGACATGGCCATCACTGGTTTCCCCAAGAATTTCATATTGATGACACATCACAGATCTGGGTAGTGATGCCTCATCAGTAAGGAAACTCTACGCTCATTCTTCAGACGTCATTTTATGGGGAACTCAGTGGTGGGATCGCGAAATGTACAGACACACAACGTTTCGCAAATAACCAGTCGAGTTCATATTTTCACGCTTAGCCTTTTTTCGCCCTTTGAAAAAACAGACAGAATACTATTCTTTTAAAACACAATAAAAATGATTAACTGACAAATGATAACTTTTTAAGCCTATAATTTTATTTTGTTCCAAGGTTTTCTGTGATAATATCACTAAAACTCAATAATTTACCGTTAATTTATAGAACTTTTTGATGCTAAATGGCTGCTTTAAGAAGCTTCAAATCGTTAGATTATCAGTATTTGTTTATACTTTATGAAGACAAAATAATTTTGTCAATATTAGTGTTATGTTTCCCTAGCAACTGTAAAATTTTCCAGGTTAATGTCATGTTAAACCAATGTTAAATATTGCATAGACCAGTTCATTAATATCTTCCTTTAAGGAGCAAACTTTTTGAATTTTATCCTAAGAAACTGTTCGAGATTGAACATGTAGGTTTTAGGGCTGGTCGTTTATCACCCGTGGAGGGGAGGGGGGGGAAGGGGGGGGAGTCATTTTGCGGGGAGGTCATTTTCAAAATCTTGATTGGCTTTGAGACGTCATTTTCAGATTAGGGAGCGTTACCTGTGGGTCATTTTAATAAATTTCTTGAAAGTAAAACAAATTAAGCAGTAACAAGCATGAATTGAACTTGAAACATCCGTAATACTTAACACTGATCTTATACACGTGACTGTAGATAAAGTTTGTGGTGAACTTCTTCATGATTTGTAGCAAGTAGAACAGGCATCATTTTGTTTTGTGTTTTTCAGGTGAGAGAAGGCAAGCACCTCATCTGAAAAATGCCGAAAATTAATCCCTGTTCCACGGGCTACACGATTTGTACTTAGAATGTTCGTAGTTTCCACAGCAATCATAAGGGGGGGCAGGGGGTCACTTTCACAATAGTTTTAATTTATGAGGGGTCATTTCTAAAAAGTTAAGAATAATTGGGGTGTCAGTTTGAAAATCTTTTAAGCTTTCTCAAAATGCCTAAACAAGCAGTTCCTAAAGCAGAAAATGAAATTTTGGTCAAGATGGTTTTAACCTAGCTAGTTTGATTGTTGATTTCTTATCATAATCATAAAGAATAATGGTTAGGGGACAAAGAACACTAAGTATCAAATTAGGGTGAAACTATTTTAATCTGGAGTGTATTTTGAACTTCCATACAGGGTTGTAGCTCCTATAAGCTCTTTCTCATGATTTCTGTCATTTCTATAGTGATGCAAGATGCAAGAGTGTTAAACAGCAGCGACAGAGTCAGTTTACTCACAGGAGCCCACAAAGTAACACATATACGACAACTGACAGTAGCTGTAGTGATGGAGAAAACAGAGTTTTGCCACTTGGAAAATGCAAAATAAACAATGAAGAACTTCTTTCAAGTGATGGAGCTGCAGAACTTTACAGAAGTAGCTTTTTTCGACCAGGACCAAAGATTCCATTGACTTTTAATCGCAGTACATCTATACCGACAATGCCTCACAGTGCCAGTGATCTCATTGCTATTGGGACAATACCGATCACATCACAACGACAGACTCCAGTTAAACCTATGTCCAGGTGAAACTTAAAAACGTTTTTGAGGTGTCTTCACATGTTTTAATAATCTTCAATTTATCAAAAGGTTAACTTTTATTTCATGGTTGAGGAGATGAAGTACCACAGAAACAATTTACCTTTAAAAGTCAGAGGCAGTGGTACTAACCATCAATATCACTGCTTCAAATCTATCATGTCAAGGGATCCTTTTCAACCTTTTTTAAGTGTCTATCTCTTCCTGTATATGTTCCAAAAAGGAACTTATGGAGTTTCTGCTCTGAACAATTTTGTGTCAAATATGAATATCACAAGGATGCAGTTGTAATAGTTACTTTTATCCTCGTACAGTCTAGTTAGTAACACAAAAGACCAGCAGCAAACTAGCAGAACAGACAAAAAGGAAACATTAAACAACAGTGATCTCTTGTTAGTCCACATTTACTGACACTTTTTCACTGGCACTAACAATTAGATATTTTTAACTACTTTTCTCTTGCATTTATATTTATTTCACCTTGCATTTGCACAC